CAGCAAGGTGCCAGCTGTGTTTGCTCCCCTGTGCTAAAGCCACGATTCATCTCACATTGCAGACATTCCTCCTTTCAGCCCTTTCTCAGACTGTTTGGAGGAAGGCAGATCCGTGGAGCGATAGCAGCGAGCCCTTGGCAGGGTTGGGTGGATGGAGGTGGAGCGCTTGGCAGCCCCAGCTGAAGAACAGGGTCCTGGGCACCACAGGGGGGGGTCAGGCAGGGGGGCAGGGGGAGCAGAGCCCATCACCAGGGGTGGAATCACCTTCTTCTGCCCTGCTTTTGTGTCCCCCACAGGCCGCTGTGTCCGCAGAGTGGTGAACGTCTCCTTTGGGCTCCTGGTTGTGTACCTCAGCATCCCCGTGGTCCTCAACCTGCTCAACTCCAGACAAGTCATGAACACCTCCTTCAACCCTCTCAGGATAGTGAACACCTACGGAGCTTTTGGGAGGTACACGTCCTTTCATGGCCCATCCTATAGCTCTGCTCCTCTCCCCAGCAGAGTCCCGTGGCCATTCTGCGTGCCTTAAACCTCACCAGAACCCCTTCCACTAACCACTGGGCTTGGAATATCCAGGAGGGGGATGGAGAAAAGGAGCAGGTTTCTTTCCCACTGAACTACACTTTATTTTCTCTGAGCCACTTTGAGTTAGCTCGTTATATGGCTATAGCAAATGTAAGAGCAGGATGAAAATACCCATCAGAGAGTTCATCCAGTGGATAGTCTGCACCATCCCCATCCTGCTGTATTTCTGGTGAACTTCTCTTCCCCTGCACACGTTTGCTCTCCCTCATGTAAATATTCACATAAGCTATTGGGTAGCAGATTTTAGGCCAACAAAAGGAAGTGATTTTTCCAGCAAGTGACTGGGGGAATTCGTGGCTCCAGGAAACTGTGGAGACGAAATGGCCTCAAAAAAGAACAAGAGGGATTGAGAGGACAAGCCCAGCAACAGTCTGGCTGCTGCCTTCAGCTCAGGAAATCCAGCTTTCAGCTGCAAGGTGGGGCTGGACATGGGAAGCATCTCCAGCTCTCTTTGCAACCAGGCTGTTTTTAAAGCATTCTGAGCCTGGGATTTCTAGGGACAGGTCACCAGGTTTAGGTCAGCCAAAGTTGGGCTCACCTTAGGCATTGTGTGCTGTCCCTCTCAGCTTCATCCTGACCAGGACAACTGAGAAAATGCCAAAAAAAACAGGGTTTCACCAGAACAGCTTGCCCCAGGGACAACAACAGGGCCAGTCTTCTCTGCACAGACCTCTGGCTTTGCCACCACGTCTCCCTGGTGGCCATGGGTGGCCCCAGAGGGCTGAGCCAGTTGGTGTGATGAGCAGCTCTGGGGTTAGGGGGCTCTGGGTGAGGTCCCACAGGAGGA